AGGGGGGGGGGGGGGGGGGAGAAAGCTGTTTGTGTCCGAGCATTTTATTTGGCCAGAACAACTAAATGAGAAAAGGATGCATGTTATTTCTGACTACACTATTTTGCATTTGAGTATCAGCCTTTACATCCTTGACCTGGATAGCCTAAGCTGGCCCCATCTTGCCAGATCTCAGAAGCTAAGCAGGGCTGCCCTGGCTAGTATTTCGATGGTAGACCTCCAAGGAATACCAGGGTTGTGACATGGAGGCAGGCAATGGCAAACTGCCTTTAAACGTCTCTTGCCTTGAAAACCCTGTGCGTGGTCACCGTAAGTCAGCTGTGATTTGACAGCAAAACAACAACAACAAACCAGCCTTTACAGGTCCATTACTTTCCTAGTCTGTAGATGAAAACCATCAAATAATAACTAAAAAATTAAATGAATGAAAGGAGTCAATGGAAGAAGAAATGAGACAAAACATAGAGAAAATGCAACACTAATCTTTAAATCAGAACCAATTATAAATTTATTTTCTGTGCCTCAGTGTACCATTGATCACAATTAGTGTATTCACTGTCTCTCTGCTCTGTGCACAATACACGCAAATAAAAATGAAGGAAACAAACAGATGAAATGAAATAAATTTACACAAAGACAGTTGTAACAATAATTAATAATAATAATAATAATCCCTGAACAACCCACAGCCATTGCTTAATTTTCTTCCCTCATAACAAACAAAATCATATGAAACCAAACCAAAAAAAGAACTCATCAAAAGTGAAAACTGATTTACAGGGGGAAAATTGCTCATTCAGTTTTTAAAAGAAAAACTCAAAAACAGGAGAATTTCAAGCATTCTGCAAATTGTTCAACGTGAATGAAAGTTTAGCCTATCCTCCATTCCTTTTCAGCCATGTGATTAAAGTTTCATTCATGACTTTTCAGCTGAACCAGAAGGACCTACCATTGGTCTGGCCAGCTGTGCTTAATTTCTGCAATCACAGCTAATGAAGAATGGGCCTGATTAAAAGCTCTGTGTATTTACAGACTTCCCAGTTAATGTCAATGGATCACATGCCTTTCTCTTTCCAGGGTAATGGATGGGGGGCATTTCTGAGTATGGGCTCTGTGTGCCCATTGCTCTCCTTACACCCAATAAGGCGTCCCTAGACAGGGGGCAAGTGGGCATATTCCAGCTTTCCACTTAATTTAAAGAAGTTAGATTGTACCCAGAGGCCCCACATCTACGAAGAAACCTGTTGCTACAAGTAGAACATTTATCCCCCTCTAATTTTTTTCTTCCCAGGAATGATAGGATTTGATTCTCCATTGTAGCAAACATGCACCACTCCTTTGATAGCTATAGAATGATCTTTTCCCACAGGAGCTGATGTTCTGGCTCAGCTGAACGACACGGACACAAGGTCCCATTTCCTCCTATTTTTAAAGATGAGAGTCTTTATTACTTTGCCCCCTTCTTAAGATTACTTCATACAACCACTTTGCTCCCATCACACATACTTGAAAACAAACAAACATTGGCCCAGATCCACATGCAACTGGGCCATGGTGAGAGAAGTGCAACTATGTCGGTGAATCCAGAGGATCTAAGGAGGCTCAATGGATGTGTTAGGATACCATTATCAGATGCTTTGATAGAGAAATACATGGGTGGGTGGATGAGAAGGAACACACATTTTCACTTCTCTTTGAGGACAAGCAACACCACTCACTATACAATGGTCAAACCCACAACTTAGTGGTATAGCACGTGCTTCATATAAAAAACATCCCAGTTTCAGTCTCTGGCATGCCTGGTTAAAGCAGGCTCGGGAACGACCAAAAGGAGCACTGCCAGTCAGAAGAGATCACAGTGGATCAGATGGACCGACCCTGTCACTTGGCACGAGGCAGATCCTTAACACTCCAAAGCAAGGGTTTGAAAATCATGGATGGATTTCTTTTCGCTGACCTGTAACTGCTTCATTCTGTAAACAGCAAGATGTACTGCATGCTCACTACTGACAAATAGGACTGCAGCTAAGGGAATGTTTACCTGGGGGTTTCATTTCTGGGGGTTCTAAGATGTGCAACCCACCCATCCAAAATGACCCCTGCCATGTGGCCAGAGAAGAGGCAGCCTTGGTGTGTTGCTTTCATAAAAAGGAGGCTGCCTCTCATTTTAATGGACTGCACTTGGGAGGGGAACAATATTGTGCGTTTTTCTCAGGGAGGCAGTCCTCTACCTGCTATCAGACCTCATTGCTCCGTCCGGGTAGAAAAGCCAACAGTTTCCGTGGCTTCTCTAGCCACAATCCTGTTCGCATTGTGCCCCTGCTATTCTGCCTTCTTGAACTGTACCAATTTCATCTCCACTGGCTAATTCCAAGCAATTCGAGTCCCCATATTCTATAGCTCCTCAGTGATCCTGGCAGGGCTAGCCAAAGAACATCTCGTGATTGAATTCAAGGCCCAGCAGAAACGAGTCCCGTCCAACTCCCTTCTTTGGTTCCTGCTGCACTGCAGTCCTTCTTCCCTCCATGTATATGATTTCCCATCCGGCTCCTTGCATGCTGGCTTTAGTCCACCTCCACCTTTAGTCCACCTCCTTGAGAGCCAGTTTGGTGTAGTGGTTAAGTGTGCGGACTCTAATCTGGGAGAACCGGGTTTGATTCCCCACTCCTCCACTTGCACCTGGCTGGATGACCTTGGGCAAGCCATAGTGCTGTCAGAGCTGTTCTTGAAAAAGAGCAGTTTCTGTCAGAGCTCTCTCAGCCCCACCTACCTCACAGGGTGTCTGTTGTGGGGAGGGGAAGGGAAAGGAGTTTGTAAGCCGCTCTGAGACTCCTTTGGGTAGTGAAGGGAGGGTTATAAATCCAATCTCTTCTTCTTCTTCTTCCAGTGGCCAGCTTCCCTTGTTCTGACCCCCTCCTAATTGGTTGTTCTTGCCATGCACACCAAAGAAGGGGACCAAATAAAACTGGTATGTGAAAAAAGATGAATGGATATGAAAAAGAACAACAAAAATAGCAACAAAACAAGCACTTACAGGTAGATCAGTTGCATTGTACCTGCGTGCCAGGTGGTAGCATCTCCAGAGCAGGGGCTGTTCTGGAACCTCTCTGTGCATTGTTCAGCATAGAATACATTGCTAATAATAAATAACAGTAGTAAAATCTCTAATTCCTGTGGGTACATGTATTTGCTTCTGGACAATGCAAGATTTGTCACTTCGCTAAGCAGGACACTTGGCTGCTCTGTAGGTTGGTAGACAGTGGTGATATATTTTTTTAAATCTACCAGACAGCAATAAATTTGAATTGATCTGTCTTCAAGGTGCCCTTCACAAAGACTACATCAGCCTACAGGTTTTTACACTGCTGCAGCAGAGACAATGACAAGCAGGGAGACCAAGCATTTGGCATCAGCTGTTTGAAGACCGAGGAAAATGCAGCATAGATACATTGTGGGAGCGAACTGATGCTTGCAAAAAAAGCAAAAGAAAAAAAAAGCAAAAAAAAAGCTCCAGGGCATTCCTTTTATTTAGGCCTCAACCCAATAACAAACTCTTAGCAGGAACAAGGCTGAGCCCCACCAAGTTCATCCAGACTAGCCACACAGCAGACTGTACTCATCTGGAGCTCAGTGGCTGAGCACATGCTGTGCCAGCAGGAAGTCCCAGCTTCAACCCATGCAGTCTCTGGTTAAAAGGCAGCAGGGCTGAGAAGGGCCTCTGCTGGAGACCTTGGAGAACAGCTGCCAGAGCAGACAATATTGGGCTAGATGGGTTATTGGCCTGACTCAAGATAAGGCAGCTTCCTATGTTTATGTTCATCTTAAGCGTGGTTTCCTACAATGGCCTAAGCCTCTACTTAGTGCATCATGCACAGTTTCTTCCCTTTAAAAACATCCACATCTCCACAGCTCTTGGTTATTGCTTCTTAGGGGACTGTGTGAAGACGAGCAATAGAATACCAGCCACTTGCTGCCTTTCATCCTGTTCACTGAAAATGAATAAAGACCAAGGGGGAAAAAATGTGTGGGAAGAAAACACGCTCGCCTCTTCAATGTTCAAACGGCATTGCTGAACAGACTATTCTTATTCAATGCTATATTACAGATTATGGTTTGCTTCATTCATGCAAAGTGCTACAACAAGTACCATGAAAGCATTCCCAAACAGGGGCGATGAAGAGGAGCACAGCAGCAAAAACTGGCAGGGAGGAAGGGCATGGGAGGCCACTGAAATTCAATCTGACCAGATCTGTCAAAACAACAGTAAAAAAAGAAAGGGGGGAAAAGGGGGGGGGGACACACAGGAGTCGGACATTAGGGCTTTGGGCACAAGTCTGTAATCTACAGTTTGGGAGCAAATAGAGCACTGGTCAGATATTGTTTGAGAAGTTTCATTTCCCCCTTTTTAAAATGAAACTGGATATGATCATAGTCCAGAAAAACCAGGAACAGGATTTGTGTGAAATCTGGACTTATTCTTAAAAGCTGGACAGTATAGGGGAGAAACAAATGCAAAACAGAAAAACAGAAAGCAGCATGGGCTAGAAATCCCTTGGACTTTGTTATGGCAGTCCCACACTCACTTGTTCTTTTGAGGGTGATGATTCGGCTTGTTCTTGAGATATGAAGAAGGCAACAAAGATTTTAAAGAAAGTCAAGAACTCCTCTTTAAGCCCAACATGACATACTTAAACCTGGCCCTTTGTCGCTGCATTCAGATTGGTCCTTATGAGGGGTGGGGTGGGATATAAAGTAACTCCATCATGATCTCGTAGGTAGAGTTGCAAAGATGGCCCTGCATCCATGCCTCCATTCCTATAGTGCTGCCCCTGGTGAAGAATCCTGCAGATTTCAAACTTCTACCACAAAGCTACATTCCATCAGTAGATAAGTGAACATGGCAAATGTCTCTTCTTCCTCCGTTCAATAATATTAGATCTATATCTATATATCTCTCTCTATATATAGATACATATGGACGCTATCTTCCAATAGTTCCTTTAGAAGCCCTTTATGTGGCAGTAGGCTTCCAGAGATGAGAAAAATATGTACAAGAGCCAAAGGAGCACGAAGAGACATGAGGTCAGAATCTTGGGAGTCCGTGGCCCACCCAGCTCACCTCCGATCTCCGGTCTCCGCCGGTAGAGAAGCACGCCAACACTGATAAAAGCAAATATGGTGAAGAGGGTGACGGAGAAAGCCAGCGTGCCTGGGTCAACTGCGAATGCGTTGCCGTGGGCTGCGTGGTAAATGGCGGCAATGGACCAGGCGACACCAATCCCCAAGAAAACATTCACAGCATTGCTACCGGTGACGTTACCTATGGAAGCATCTGCATATTGATCTTGTGTTGCTGCTACTTTACTGGCAAATGTGTCTGCAAAATGAAAAGAGAAATTATTATTCATCTTGTATGTGATGTGCCCTATCTCCAACATAGGGTGAAAACAGTTGTTACATTCTTAATAGCAGTCACAGTGGGTTCTTTGTGGTGGGAGCTCCGCTTCACATTTTGCCACGGAGACACACAAGTCAAATGCTAGATTAGTCCTCAGATTTGTTGCCTTTGCAACATTAATTATGGTTTCACAACATGTGCACTGATGCAAGCCATGGTTCATATCACACAGGTTCCCTGTGATCCATCAGAAAATTTGCTTCAAACCATGTTTTTCCACCTCTAATTTACAAGGGAACTGTGGTTTACATTAACTGTGGTTTTGGTCTGTGAGGTAAACATTGGAAAGAGAGGAGAGAAGGAAGGGGACAAGAATGTCCAAGGCTGGTTCCTGATTTAAAGAACATGGTTGGCATGATGTCTGCACCAGGCTTCTCTGTTGAGTGTTCCATGCAAGTGCTAGTGGTCCTTCACCCCCCTCCCATTCTATTTCCTGAAGCATTTGTTTCGTTGATCTTGTGCTGCTCCAACTGCAAACAGCTATTCAATTAAAGGAGAGTAAGTGTCATTTAAAACCCATCCCAAATACATAATTGGATCCATTTTGTGGAAAGGTTTAATGGTGATCAAAGACAATGCCAGGAGCGGAATGAATACTTAATGAACTTCAGCAGTTCTAGGTCACCTTGGGTAAAAGGGGATAAAGGATAGCTTGGAATCAGGCAACAGCTGCTTAAAATTTCATATCTCCCCTCCTACCATTTCCTGCACGAGGAACTTAAGGAGCATGTATTTTTTCCCATGGAGTTTTGAAGGCAGACTTATGAAATCCCAGCTGGCAGCCAAGCTCCTCTTTTGCATGCAAAGAAGAGGCCAAATAAATATAGAAGGAAAGTTAATTTACAGTGAAATTCAAAAGCTGCTTTTACCCACAAAAATAGCACTGTGGAAATGTCTGTAATTGCTGTAAAAAAGAAGGCAATTTCACCAGACTTTTGTCTCTGCGGCTCTACAACAACTTAATAATTATGCTTCATAATTGATGTCAAAATTACTAGGCTTCTGTGCAGCTACCTATGTGGCAGCCACAGGAGCTGCTGAAAGACACTCCATCACAAAGTCAGAGCCACTGCCCACAGACGTTTTTAAGCCACAGGAGGTTTTTTTTTCCTCCAAATTCTCACCGCTTAAAATAGAGAGAGAGAAAAAAATCAGTGTTAGGAAAGACTTTCACCTCTGTTGCTTGTGAAAAAATATACTTATTTGGCCTTCATCTGACCACTGGATTCTATCCCCCCCCCCAAGTTAAAAAGCAGATACCAAGAAGTTATCTGTATATGCCCTTGCCATTTGAACTTGTTTTATGGAAGACACTTATCAAAGATAAAGGAAGGAATGACTCTTAGATTTTTAAACAGAGTTTTATAATGTAGTATATTTTATAGAATGTTAGTTGTGAGCCAAGAGGCTCCTGGTTCCAATCTCAGTTAAGTCATACTACATGACCTTAGGCAAGCCACTGTCTCTTGGCCTTAAGACCTGCAGAGCACTTCATGTGAATTTCTCCAGGAGTACTGGTAAGTGGGTCAGCATTTATCCCCATATTACAGATAGCAGTTTGTCTAAGACACCTAGTCAGTTTGTGGCAGTGGGAAGGTGTGTGAATTGGCCTCCAGTAGCACACTGAACATATAGGGAAAGGAGGTTTACAGATAGACAGACAGACAGACAGACAGACAGATAGATGGAGGAAGGAAGTTGTGAAGTTCATGGGGGGAAACCTCTCTGGAGACTTTTGAGGAGAGTCTAGATAAATGATCTGCCAGAGAGCTTAGCTAGTTCTGCAGGCAACAGAAGCTGAGGACAACAGAATCAAATAGCTAGAAGCAGGGCTGGCATCAGCACACTCTGAGGCGGGCTAGCTACCGCCCCCCCCCCCAGAGCTTCTGCTTGTGGGGAAGGCAATAGGCAGGTGTTAGAGGATGGGCGTGTGGCTGGGGGGGGTGAGGAGGGGGACCTGAGCACTTTCTACCTGGGGCTTCCCAAAACCTGGAACTGGCTCTGCCTAGGAGGAATTTCTATGATATCAACTATCCCTTCAGACCTTTCCATCACAGACTTGGGTATCTCTCAATCCCTGCTCAATTTTCCCCAAGTCCAATATACTGACATACAGCCACTGCTCTGTCCTTCTGCATATAGCTTAACAGGATACAGAATGTCTGTCAATTCATGTTTTTTCCTCTCCCAATCGCAGTAACAGCTCTATAGACATGATTTAAGTGTCAGCCCATTATTCAGCGAGGCAAATCAAAGAAATTATTATGCCTATAAAATGTTACTGCAATCTGCTAAGGAATTCAGCTTCCTCAAAAGAGAACTTTATAATGTATCAAATTCACTTTGGTTTTGGATTTAGATCTCACACGGACAGTTTAATTACTCCACTTAATAATGCATTCCACTCAATACCAGCACCACAATTCCAATGTGAGAATATACTGGAGTTCATTTTGCCAGAAACATGTACAATGCAGCCCACCAATGCTTCGTTTGCATAACAGAGAATGTGATGTAACCCAGCTGCCAAGGTGCTATCATTCATGCTAAATGCAACATCATTGCTTATTCTACTTTTCCCAAAGTTTTATTTTACTTAAATGATACTTTAAAGACATGATTTTAACACATTTCTTCCTTCCCTTCATCCTAAGGAACACACAACACTTTAAATTACTCTTCTGCTACAGGTAAATAATTGGCAAAGAGAAACTGTTACATTCCCACCCTTAATTATGTAACTAGAAGAAATTGTTCATTTGCTTTAGTTTTCTAATCACCCCAGTATGGTCACAGGGGACTAAAAAAGATGAAGGATAAAGGACTAGGGGCTGTGGTGCAGGGGCAGACTATCTGCTTTGCATGCAGAAGGTCTCACGTTCAATCCACAGCACCTCTAATTAAAAGAATCAGATAGCAGGTGATGAAGCAAAGACTTCCCTTTAAACTTTAACACTGAAACTGGCCTCCGTGAGGTCCCGGACTCCTCTAAAGCCTTAAACTAGGCACCATTTAAACTTTGTTTTTGTTAATGCCGGGGCGAAGCTCCGCCTATGCTCATACCGCCGACGCTTAAAAAAAAAGGAGGACGAAAAGCCTCAGGCTTCCCCGGCAGCTTTCCAGAGGGGAGGGGGTTGAGGCACCCAGAAGTGACTCAACACCCAACACCGGAGGAGCGATCACACTGGAGGGGGGGGGAATGCTGCTGGAACTGGAGAAGCAGGAAAACACCACTTAGGGACCTGGTATCAAAACACTCCATTTTAAAGGGGGTTTGCGCCGGAAAGTGACAGCTGCGGATGGGAGGCAGATGTTGGCTGTGTGATCGCGCGTGAATAGTCCGTTTCTAACTGGCACGTATACCGGCTCAAATGGCCTGTCTGACCACACCCACAAAGTTTTAGTCAAAGTGTAAACTTTTGTGTGCAAAGCACTTTGAACAAAACTTTGTGGGTCTCAAAGATGCCACTTGGCTCAAACTTTGTTCTGCTGCTTCTGACCAACACGGCTGCCCCACCTGAATCTATTTTCAAGTCTTACCTCATCCATAAACTCACTAGGTAGTCTTCAACAAGCTGCTATTTCCCATCCTCTCCTCGGCATGGATTTAATAATAACCCTTACAAGGTTGAGATAACACACGTGACATGTTTTAATTACTGTATTAATTTGCAAGCATTATTGTTTAAGTTTACATGCCATAGAAATAAATAGGACTAAAGAAATCAGTTTGCACTGCCAGTCCAGCATAAGCACACTATATAGGGCATGTAATTTATAAACTGTATGCTATTGCAGAGAATGGAAATGATTAGAGATGCCCATTCAAGGATTAAACTATAATTTTTAATGTAAGGAAGGTTATTGTCAGGCTAAATGGATATGTAACCTATGTCCTTATTGTTTTAAAATTTTATTTCTGTTAGGGCCTAGGGAGCAAAAGGTCACGGAGCATGGGCAGTTGGTAAAGTTGCTCACATTTTACTAGCTGCAAGAGCCCCAAACCCTCATTCAGTCTGGCCTGCAGTAGGAAAGAGAAGGCTAGAGCTTAACTGAGATAAACTGCTAACTTCTTTGCAGGTATGTGATGGGCCCAGCCAGCAACCAGGGAGAAATTGCATGCCAGAATTTCCCCTTTAGGAGTTGTTATAAAGAAAGGATTTTTCAAGCTGAATTGTGATTAAAGATATGGTTAGGGCTGCTAGGTCCCCCGGGGTGGTGGTGCCTGCTTTAGAGGCCCCCAACCCCTGGCCCGGATTTGACCGCCGGGGGGAACCCCGCCCCCAAAGTGCTGGAATCGGGCTGACGTTCCCCATGCGATGGCCTGGAGGTGACATCATTGTGCCAAGCACATTGTTGGGGGACGCTCTAGCGTTCAGCATTAAAACTCTATGATACCTGGCAACCCTAGATATGGGGGAATTTCACATTACCTAGTTTCTCCCGGTTTCAAGCCGGGAGTCTTCCGTTATGAGTTGAACCGGTACAGGGCTGCCGTTTCACACACGGCTTGCCCCTACCGGAAAGGAACCAGATAAGAAGCGGTTTGGCGTTTCACACACGCACCGCTTTGTAGCAACACACACGGGCACGTCCATCGGGTCCACTTCCACATGGAAACTCGCCTGGCCGATCGAGGTGCCAAGTGGATGTAGCGCCAGCCGTCTTTCCCGCGGAAGCGTCCGGCCCGTCGGAAGAAGCTGGCCCGGGGCTTTGGGGGGGGGTGTTTGAGGAGAACCGAGGCGAAGCGGTGGCAGCGCACGGCCGGCAGTCCTCGGGAGCCGTGGGGGAGCAGGAGCGTGGTTCGTCCACGGCGGTGCTCTCGTCGTCGTCTGCCCGCCTGCCTAGCTCCTCGGCCGTGGTGCAGGGCTCCTCGGCGAAGAAGGCACCACCATCCCTCTTGCGGTCTCAACCTGCGC